ATTTTTATGGATGAAAAATGAGAACCAAACGGACTGAAGAAATTCCTTTTTTTTTTTTTTTTTTTTTTCAATTTTTGTCCAGCGGAGAAATGTTCTTCAAACATATTTATTTTACTAATCACCCACAAATTACTATAAATGTGCATGCACTTTACTTGTTAAATTATTTAATAAACACAAACGTATTATAATACATTATAAAACTGAATTGATTTACTTTAAATGGGAGGTAAGTGCATTTTATTATCACTCAAAAGAAATAAAAAATATTACTCAACTAGGCAAGTTAATTCCTAATATATTATGATCTTCATTGATCAGATTTGTATCTGTGTGAACTACACTCAAATTTATTAAAATATTTCTTGAAGCGTATATTCAAATGTAAGAGAGTAGATACATGGTAAGTTCATTGGATGCTACTACTACTTTCGCTTTGAAATTTACTACTACAACTTTTGCTTTGAAATTTTCTTATAAAATTCTAGTAGTTAGTAGTCGTATATTCTCCTCGTCTCCTCCTCCCCTCCTTACCCGTCGAAGAAAACCTCTCAAATTATTTCCATATTGAACCTTAAAACATATAGGAGTTCTGAATTGAATCTGTTTAAAAAGTTCTTTCGTCTCATGGTAGTCTAAGCTTTCGTTATGGAAAGCTTTCCAACCAAAAAGGAACAAATTATTACTGCTCAAGGGTCGGTTTAGAGTTCAAAAAGTCTTAAAATAACGCTGAATAAAACATAATTAAAGTAAAACTGACAGTTTTTGTGACTATTGTCGATAAATCATTTGGATTCAAAAAATAAAGCTTCGATAATCCTTAATTTTTTTTCCATTTTTAAAATTTTCTGATTTGTTACTCTACTCTGAACAAAGATCTTCTAAACAATTCAATTCCCAGAGTTAATACACATCTTTTCAAGGGTATGTGAGTGTGCAGCTTGATTAGAAATAGCATTTTCATAAGTATAGTTTTTATACTTATTTGGAACTCTAAATTATGATATTTTATTGTCTTTTGAATTAAATTCTACCTAATTTATGTTAAATTGTGTTTTGCAGGTAAAATTTTATGTTTGATGAAGAATTGAAGAAAAGAATACAAAATGACGAAAAAATGGCGAAATCCAAAGTACAAGGACTACATTAGCATGGGCTGCACAAATAAATTTATTTCAAGGATTAACTTGCATTACATGAAAGTTTTTGGGCTTGAAAAGAAGAATGAATTTAATTAAGTATTGGAGTTTTATTGAACATCAAATTGGACCAGACATTGGCTGGGAATTAGGGTATATATATATACCACATACACAGAGGAAAAAGGGGGCAGCTGGCAGTTTTCAAGGCAAGAGAAGAGAGAGACTGAGATTTATAAATATAAAACGCACAGATTTCCGACAACCACAGGAGAAATTGAGGCATAAATAATATTATACATAATACACGTGTGGAAGAGTAGAGAGAGAGACGGCAGTTTCTGGAATTGATCATTAATATAATATATACATGGCCACAAAAGTCAAAAGAGGCTTAATTGGAAGAAAGTGCACAGGAGGTGGCTGAATCTGAGACTATTTCATTTTGAGAAATGCTGGACTTACAGTCCCGCTTCACAGTTCACTTCACAGCAATTCAAATTTGCTGACTAGGCAATGACCCGGCCCAACAGAAACGAAACCACCCGGCCCAGAAACGACATTTTACCCCCATTTCCCCTCTTCCCCCAAACCTTCTCCCCCAAATGACCGACAAAAACGCGAGCCCATCTCCACCAACTCTCCCCGTCGCTTAGGTAGCCGTCGATTCCAGCCAAATCCGTGCCCGTCGGTGGTGTCGCCGTCGACCTGCAGTGCACTCCCCGCCGAGAAGAGACAAAACGCTTCGGGAACGAGAAGAGGCACTCCCAGCCGAGAAGAGACAAAACGCTCGCGAACCAGTGAACCTTGCTGGTAACCTCTCCCTTCGTTTTTGTGTCATTTATTCTTCTTCTTGCTGGTCATTTCGTGCTTGGGTTGTGTAATGGTGACTGTGAATTGCGAATTTTGCCCAGCAATGTCGTAGC